TGTTACTATCTTCTTGTTACTTGTAGTCAGGCACCTTGCTACTAGTAGCGATGCACCTTGTTACTATCTTTTTGTTACTTGTAGTAAGGCACCTTGCTACTAGTAGCGATTCACCTTGTTACTATCTTCTTGCTACTTGTAGTAAGGCACCTTGCTACTAGTAGCGATGCACCTTGTTACTATCTTCTCGTTACTTGTTGTAAGGCACCTTGCTACTAGTAGTGATGCACCTTGATGTTACTAGTAGCTCCTTGTTACAAGGCACCTTGCTACTCGTAGCGGCAGCGATGCACCTTGTTACTATCTTCCTGCTACTTGTAGTAAGGCACCTTGTTACTAGTAGTGGCGCTCAAGGAGCACCGCTCCGCACGCGATCGCGGGCTCTGAATGGAAAAGGTGCGATTGTGCCACAGGGGCCTTCCGGCGAGGTGACCCAGCTTTGCTGTTGGCCTCGTAACGGTGCCCCTTGTCACCTCGATTGGTTTCTTGGTGTTCGCTTCATATTGAACTACATACTCTCTTGATTGCTGAGCTGCAGTGTGCAGTCTGCGGGATTGCTGGTTAGAGGGCACCGACATCATTTCGCTAGGTCCTTTGGCCATGCTAGACTCTGTTGCGCAAGCGACAGCGCATCTGCACTTACACTGCACTGAAGATCCAAGCAGCATGCCTTTGAACGACGTGCTTGATGGCATTTGGAGGTTGTTGGTTTGGGCGGCGGGTTTTCCATGCCCTACAGGTTTCCAGCAGTTGCCAGTTAGACAGAAAGGGCTCCATGTTGGCACCGCAGCAGTTTTCATGGTGGCGGACTGCCTGCTGCATTGTCGTGTCAAGAAGAAGGTGTTGGCCTGCTTGCGGGTTTGTATCAACCTTCTGCTATCGTGGCTTTTCTTACCAGACAAACTTTTTGGCCGCAAGCCAGAAGGTGCAGTGAGAGCTCTCGCCGGACTGCTGGCAGCGAATGGTTTAGCCCTCTTGAAGATGAGAGCCAGAACGCAACAAAGCCATCAGATAGGACAGTTGCTTTGCCCTGCCCACCGAGCTGTGTTTTGGCCGAAGTCCTTTGTTGAGTACACGTTGAAAGACCGGAGACAAGCTGTTGACGAACTCGTCCATTTGCAGCTGTTAGCAGTCCGTGCTCCCACCTTTGATGTGGAAACTTACGGATGCCACCTGCAAGATTGCGCAGTACTGTACCAATGGTTCGGCCCTTCCAGATACGTTGGAGTTGCTTCTGTGAAACGACAGTCACGGCCAGGTATGCCTGGGCCTGGCCTTCGTTGGTGGGAGCATTTACTGCATTGGTCACGACGACAACTCAAAGGGTCGCACCTGAAAAAGTACACTCTGTTTCGCCGGTCCGGTGGTGATCAGTTGGGTTTTCTGGTTTCCAGAGCTGGCCCCTCCAACATTATTTTTGCTTCGGAGCAGTTGGAGATTCGCTGCCACCGACCGCCAGCGAATGGGCACAGCATGAAGCGCTTGACCAGCAACAAAAGCGCCAGACAGAGGCCTCCACGTTCCAGTAGGGGCTACGTTGGTCACCGCCTGCGCGAAGGCACTTTTGAAGGTAAAGTTGCCCATGCCCAGTTCGAAAAGGCTGTTCGAAGAGTGCAGCGGGCCCAGGAGTTCAAAGCGCGCCAGTTGCATCCACAAGATGTGCTTCGCTCACTGAATCTGGATTTCCGGTCTGCATATCGACGTGTACAACAGGAACGGTTTGGAAGGTGTGGTGTTTTGGGCCCAGTCAACATTTATAATCCCACTAACTGGCGGCTCTTGCTCCTTTTTCTGGGCACTTTTGGTTGCAGCGTGGATTGGGCATCTGTGGACGTGCATTGGCGTTCCTCTTGCAGTGCAGTTCTCATTTGGCAGAGGGCCAAAGTTTGGTTAACTGGGAGGCGACTCCTGCTCGCACAACAGAAGCTTGATGAGGTTTTCACTGCAAGGAGACTACCTACAACACGGGGCTTTACCATTGTGGTGCCAAAGCGCTGTCTTGTCCCAGCTGTCAAAGCTGCTTTGCAGGTCGGCGTTGCCTCCCAGCCTGCTTGGGATTGCCTCCTTCGAAACTATGTGCTCGAAAGCTCCCGTGTAGTCCTGGGAAAAGAGTTCACTTTTGCTGACTCACAAAACTGTGCAAGAAAAGCGCGAAAGTTTGACTGGTCCCAAGTCCGCCATTGCAGTGATGAGGACCTTGCTGCTGCTATCTGCGGCATTGGGGCGAGGCGTGTTGAAGCAAACTGGAAAGTCCCAGTGCAAACTACGGAGGCTGAAGACGTGGCAGCCGTCAAGAAGTGCTTGTGGGGCTGGTGTTCGGCTTTCTTGCTTCCACAAAGTGGAAAGATTTGTCGCCGTCGCGCTGCGCAGTCCCTGCAGCGACACCAAGCCTGGCTTACCCACCGAAAAAACTTGGAGTTTTGCAAGCCTGACTACAACATCGTTTCTTCGCAGTTCTCTCACTCAAAAACTGAGGTGGTGTGCCCGGATGACAAGGTCAAGCAATACAAGTGGATTGTGCTGGAAGTTGTCTACTTTCTCATGGCAGCATACTTTGTTTGTGTGTCCAGTACATGGCAAGCCGTCAACATGTCTGTTGCGGAAGCACAAGCCTGGTTCAACGCTTTGCTGACAGTCTTTGTGCCAACAAGACTGAAAAGAGCCTTCGGTGTGTTGCCTGGCAGAGAATTCCTTCCTTACTGCTACAACAGCATCAAGGCCAAGTGCTTCCTGAACGGGCGGCGTGTGTGTTCCCGCCCTGGACATAGCTGCATGAGAAGGATCGTCAGCTACGCGCAGTGGCCTGCAAGAAAAGTCTGGAGACAAGCCGGGAAAGCTTTGGCCTTCCTTCTGCAAGAAACTCTAATAACTGATGAGGTCTGGTCCCTGAAGAATGCCAGGCGTGATATCGAAAGCAAGATAGATCGGTTGCTGCCGCCTAGGCAAGCAGGTGTTTGCGACGGATGCCACAATGCCTGTTGTGGCCTTCAGGGAGTTACTGCGGCCAGTTTTTTGAATGTGTTTCAGCTCAGAAAGC